GGTCAAGATTCCCATTGAAAGCACAAACTGTTATTTATTATGGTGACAAAATGCTGAAGCACTTAACTACAGTAGGTTACATACTGTATCCTCACCACATGTTTCTCTGAAAGTAGATTTTCTTTTGGTCATATTCGCAACACAATTTGTTTCATGACTCAAATAAAGTCTTTGTTTGACTGAAGCTCCTTTCCACAGCTATTTCTCCCACCCACACACTTCTGACTGTAGGGCAATCCAAAAACTGCTCTGATAACACATTTGTTCTCTGACAACGTTCATTTAAACACTAAACTATTTATACACTAAACCAACTTGCTGCCATATAATAATTAAGTAGTGCCTGATTTAAATTACTGCCAATTCTTTGGACTTGACTAACCTGTGTGTAGTGTAACTTGCTGTGATTACTGATGTCAATGAAAGAAAAGACTTTAAGACTAGGTAGAAATATTTCGGGCGGTTTTGTTTATACACAAAGGCAGCCTTCCTTTGTGTATAACCATTCCTAAAATCATTGTAAGCAATCTTACATCAATTAAATTAAGACATTTAGAACTCATTGAATACCACAGAAACACTACTGGTGAAACATTATAATCATAATGGGAAAAAATTTAAGAAAGAGATTTAGCTCCAAGCTTGCAATATTTACATTTTATAAGTAACTTGTCCCTTTAATTACTTTCTTCATATTCCTTTAGGCGATTTAAAAATAATAATAATAATTAGCTTTCCATACGGTGACCTGAAAGGATGTTGGTCTGTGTCTTGACTGAGACTGCACTTCACGTGCAATGTGGAATAAATATCAAAAATATAATAATGCTAAGTAATTGTCCACCTTACTCAGTGTTTTAAGACACTCTCCTCGGTTTATTCACCAAACAAGTTCAAACTATGACACGCCCTTATTAATGTGTTATTGCCCCTCCTGAAAAATAGGGTTATTTGCAGCATGTGCAATTATAAGAGACCCAACCTTTATGCAAAATCAATTATGAGTCTTTATCATAACCTCAGGTCTATGCAATGATACATTGGCTGGAATTTTAAAATGTAAACATCCATGTTACTTACTCAGTAACACACACACACACACACACACAAATATATGCTATTTATAAAATGTGTAATATTTTTACATCTAGCCTAATTATTTAGTTTAAATGATCTTGTCCAGGGGGTTATTGATGTTTAATGCTGAGCTATACTAAGCACGTGGACGCAGAAAAAACTCACCGGGACTTTAAAAACGTGCAATCGTCGGCTTATCGGGTCAGTAGCCTACCGGGAGTTAGAAAAGTTGTGTTGGAAAAAGTTTAGTTTAAAAAAAGTTTTGGTTAAAGATCCGGGTAGTCTGATCTACGGGTAGAAGCGGGAAGAAGCTATACTCGGTCGGCAGCGGAATGCAGAGGGAAACCGACCTTGGTGTACTTGATCTCCGGGTTGGGCACCGGTGAGGGCATTAGATGCAGGGATGCCATGAGAGCAGCTGGGTCGCTCTTCACCTCTCCGGGGATCTCGATCTTGCTGGAAGTCATCACGGCCGTCTCTCCACTCGTCTGCCTGCTGCGCCTCTCTGGGTTTTTTCTCTAGGCTAAAAGGACTTTCTGATTAGGACTTTGGGTTCCTTCCTGGGTTTATAGCCAGGTGTCAGCAGCGGTTCATTTTCATTGGGCAAAGAAAAGGGCTGTCCTTTTGAAAATTTACTTTACGCATTTACATAAACGACGTGTTGAGGAGGCGAAACACAACCACCACACCCACCTCACACTCCCGACTCAAGTCTCCACTGCTTTCACTCACCAACAGCATTTCTACAGTAATTCATGGTTTTGCACACACAAACACACTCTTTGGGATTATCAAAACGTGGTGCCACGAATTATCAAAACGAGTTTGAAGTTGATCATTATGTTAATACCAGGTATTATCTGAACTCAATAATAAATGTAGCCTGTATAATAAGCTTTTTTTTTATTACATATGACCTATTTTGCAAAAGGTTTTATAGATGGACCCCTTTGGTCAAACAGACATGTTCCACAAACTTACTGAAACGTAGCTTAATGGTCTTATGAAGACCCCTCTTTTTTTTGTCAGAACAACCTCACCACAAGGTCAATTCAGTAGATGTTCTGGACTTGTGATGATATCACACGACCCCCTTCGGCAGATAGTTTGCTCAGTTGTAGGTGTTTAAATTTCCATTTTTCTTCTGGTCCATGATTGCAAAACAAGTAAGACTGAAAATTCATTCTGACCTCGGAAGCAAAACAACTTCTCCACAAATATAGAGCCTATAAAGGCCATATTTACTCTTTACTGAAAATGTGAGAAACTCACATTCTTTACACCATCATTAACCATTTCCTAAGTGACATAAAGGTGTCAAACTACTTTCCTCGGCCCACTATCACCCTGTAGCCTTTATTTGCCTAACACAACCTCCCCACGGTCTAAGATGTTATGTAAATGCGGACTAGAGAAATTGCTGCTACTTGCTGTGGTGTTGTTGGGAGAGATTTGTCCTTCAGGTGATAATTCCTCCCAGCGCCTCCTTTAAAAACTCCCAATAAACATCCACCTATTAGCTTTGAGCAAGCCTGTCTCCGACAACTAAAGGAATTAAGCAAATCCACGCATGTATTAACACATCAACAACAACTGCACTTCCTCACACATTCATGAGGCCACTCAGGTAATAGTTAAAGGGTTTGTAAAGTTGTTTGAGATTTAGACTGTGATGGTCAGACTTGTAGCCTAAAGGAATAGGGGATGAAGCCAAGTAGGCCTATATAGGTCTATCATTTAATTCAACCACAGGTTCGTTTATATCCTCAAACAATAATCTCCTCAACCAGCGTAAGGTCTTTAAATTTTAGATTTCATAAGCTGAGCCTCTTGACAGGACAAAGGAGTGTGGAGACAGATGTAGGCCCATAATTTGCAAATCCCCGGAGGATGCTGTTTCTCCATCAGCACATCACCCTTTTTTCACAGCATGGGCGACACTCTCAAAGTGTCTGTTTCACATCAAAGAGGACGTGCCCGAAACGGTGACATTGATTAATGCATTCAAAACATCCCATCCTCAGCCTGTCGCCTCACCTTTTCACAGAGCACAGCGAACGGGAGATAAGACATACCGGAGGAGACGGTGTGGCAAACTTTAGCCGGCAGTTCAAATGCATTCATGGAGCTCCCTCTGTTGGAGGAAGTGGGCCTGGGACATTTCGGAGTCACACTTACATATTGAAGTTTCAACAGTATTTACAAAGAGCGGTTTAATAAGAAACATATGAGGGTAATTGTAAAAACAAGACAAGAACAAGACAAGATAATTGGAAATATGCCTGATAAGGTGACCGAGAGAAGTAGGACCATATCTGCATGAAGAAAGGTGAGTGAGAAAACTTTACAAACTTTCTGATATGGCAAAAAGAAAACAGCCAACAAATGCAAGGAGCTCTGGGAAGTTTTAAAAAATAACCAAGAAAAAGAAAAAGAGCATTAATTGGAGAAGTGTGTGTGGATGTTTGTTGGAGAGTTATAATCTGTTTTCTGTGTATCAAATTTCTTTAAAGAAAGTCAAAAACACGCAGGATGTCTTGTAAAGTATAGCCTAGTTGTTTTCTGTCAGATTTTCTCACATCCGCTACTTGGTGATGTAACCTAAAGACATAATAGGCCATTACGTAGACCCTATACGGGTGGGAAAGACATCCTAAAGGGAGGCAATGCGTTTGATAACCGACACTCGCTCTCAATAAGTATACCCCATGAAATTGGTTTCCTAAATATAAGTCTAGTATTTTTGCCTATATATATCACTATGGCGAATTAGTTTATCCATCACTATTTAAACATTCACATGGGACTTGTAAACCAACCAAAACTGATAGTTCCAACAGACGAAAAACATTTTATAGAGGTTTTAATAATGTCTGTACAAAATGAAGTCTCCCAGTGGACTAGTTTTCCCAGTTTGCTAAAAGTGTTTTTTGATTTGAAATATTTTTAAGTGCCAAAATGAGGAAAAGCTGTGGACTAGGCCTACATCATTTGAAATTGATCCATTTATTATCAGCCAAAACTAGCAAGTGAAGGCAATTATGCATTTATGCTGAAAACAGGGCTCAACAATAGCCTATGTGATTTATTAATCTGATGATTATCCACATGATTTCCTGTGAGAAATCTGCTTTCTAAAAAGCAGTTTTCACTACCTGAAAGGATTTTTGTTTTTACACGTTTGTTTTTATTTTCACTGAGCCATGTTAATATTTTTTAACTTTTCCATCATCCTAAATTGCGTGTTAAACCTCTGAAAATATGACATATAAAGTTAGACAATAATAATATTATTATTGTCTAACTTTATATGTCATATTTTCATTGATCAGTGTTGTCAATAATAAAGGAGGGTGCTAGCTGACACTTACACAGCTTTAAACCGAACATGAGCCAAATATTGTGATTAGAAAAATGACTATTGATATAATAGGCTAATTGGTGATAGTCGGGACATTTGAGGTCCTAAATGAGAGTTATTTTCCTATCTTTCTTAATATATTCACATTTCATATTCAGTTTGTGTCTGTGAGTATCGTGGCTGTGCGTTTAGTGATCTGCTAAAATAATTGTTAGGATAAAAAAGGATAATTTATCTTTCATGTTTTTTTTGTCAAAGCAGCCGATTATTTAAGGATTTTCTTAGTTATTTTCAGATAGCCTAATTTTAAAATCGTATAAAATCCTTCTCCAATGTGCAGCCTAATTTACTGTTAGGCTACTTGTGTGTCTCAAAAAACAAATTTAAAATGCACATGCATGCAAATATAAGCCAAACAAATACTTTCAGCAGCTGTGGGCTCGGGATGTCAGTGCGGAGTCCACATTTCTTATAAAAAGTAGACCCCTTGTGGTTATAAAGGGAAATAGATGCACGTAGCTTAACGGCCTGCCGAGGGCTGCACGGTCCGAGCGCACCGAGTGGGAGGCGGCAACCTGCAATGACAATTACGCAGAGACTGCCTCATAGTTGTTTGCTGTTTGTTCTGGTCGTAGGAAGACATCAAGGAGACGCAGGAAGAAAAAAATGGAAAAGATGAAGGAGAGATTTGCCCTGAGGCGGGACATTTTTAAGGAGTTCCTGGCGGAATTTCTGGGGATATTTGTCCTGATAGTGAGTACCTCCCTCTGCACCTGTCATCCAGCTTAAACAGCCGCTTTAAAGCTCTGAACCAGTATGCTAATAAGGTGTTATACTGGGTCTCCGGAGACTCTGACTGTTGTCTCTCAGATGTCTCTATTAACTGATAGTATATTCTAGGAATAACAGACCTTCTCTTTGATGTGCTCAACTGTAATTTGCTTCTGACAGTCATAACAAGATGTAGCTGATGTTGGGTGTTTTTCTTCCTCACAACTCCTCTAGAATAATCTAACACAAAATTTGAATCATTATAACTAGAATAATTAATTGTCTTTCAATTATGAGGTTATGGAAGAAATAAACGTGGGATTGAATTAATAATAGAAAAGTATAAGGTCAATTTGTAGTACAGAGAAGTATCATTACTCTTCTGTGTTTCCCTATCAAAAGAGTTGACTGCTTTTCAGTTATGCCTTTCTAGTCTGGACTGTCCTCCACCTGTCACCTCACTGAGTCCACTATACCTGTGATGGCACATCAGAGAAGTGATGCAGTTTCCACAACAGTCCTTTTCCTTTTTTTTCTCCTCTCAACACTCAGGGTCTACATTATTTCTGCCTTTTACCTAATAAGTAGGGGATTCATTATTTTCTGAGCTCCAGGTTGGACAAACTGTCTGTGGCAGTCGCAGGCTGTTGGTGGACAAGAGGGCTAGTGTTAATGGCGGGTATAATTGGAATAATTAAAAACAATGAGTCTTTCTACCGCCACCCTTTGTGTTTTTGTTCTTGTCTGTGTCCCAGCTCTTTGGATGTGGTTCAGTGGCCCAGACAGTGCTGAGTAAAGGGGCTCTTGGGGAGCCCTTGACCATCCACATTGGTTTTACTCTGGGAGTCATGATGGCCGTCTACATGGCAGGGGGAGTGTCAGGTAAAAGTAGCCCACACTTTGTATTTACACATGCACAGGTATTATATATTCATTACAATACTAAATCATTTTATCAATTCTTGCAACTATCCATTATACTGCAGATTCATTTCCTGATCATTTGGTCACTAAAATGTCAGAAAACACTGAAAAATGCCAGTTTAATAAACTCAAGGTGGAATTTTTATATTGTTTTTTTTTTTTTTTTTTTTTGTGCGACCAACAACCAGAACGCAAAGATATTCAGTTTGGCATTTTTGCTTGGAAAAATTCCTTAAACGATATTGTTAAGATAGTTGCCATTTTCTAACGATTGACAATTTATTGAAAGCATGTTGACACTTAATGACAAAGATGCTTTCTCATTAGTTCAGTCGTTTTCTTGGTTCTCCAGGGTTCTCAGTGAAAGAAAAACAAGGAAAACATAATTATTTGATATTTTAGAACACAATGCAAACACAGGCTGGTGACAAAGGTCACTCAGTGTTTGTCTGCGGTGGTGATGCGATCTTTGGTCGTGGATGTCTGGCTGTCTCTTTGCTCTTACAGCACAACAAGTCTCTCCTCCAGGTTACTCTGTGCCACTGTTATCTCCATCTTACAAGTATGTACATGAAAAACTTTTGCAGAAAAGAAAACTATCAGGCTGCATTTTGACCTCAGGGATTCATTGCATTAGCTTACTGATCTAAGTAAGAGCGTATGAAGACCAGTGTAGACCATTGTGGTGGACAATGGAGAGCTTTCAACATAAAGGAGCCTTTTTGTGGTCTAGAATGCAGAATTACTGATGCTAATGGGAAAAAATGTGGTTTTTAGTGAAGAGTAAACTAAGTGCTATTATTTAATTGCCTGTGGGCTGATTTTCAGACTAAGAGTGGTGTCATTGTGCTTGAAGGCTGGAGATATTATGTCCAAATGGGACATTATCCAGTCATTCCTCAAGGATTACAGCAAGATGAGCCCTCTGTGTGTTGCCAGCAGTGATAGGGATAGGAGGGGATAGTTGTTAAATGTCACAGTGCTTCTAATGGGCTTGCTGAGACAAAATGGTGAGTGTCCATTAATCAGCAATCAAGGGAAGCATTATTTTGAGGGTGGCATTTTGAAGGCTTCATATATTATTGTTTGGTCATTTCCATTAATGTTGGGAAGTGAAAACAAAGAGATAAATGGTGCATCTGACTGCATAATAACTGCTTAAAGCCGGGTTAGGCAAAGTTGGAGAACTAGCGAGACAGCTTTTTGAAAGTGTGCAGCCAAAAAGAGTGCGCACAAATAGACAGGTAAGCCAGCCAATCATTTCATTTAGACTGTGCAAATTAAACAAAATATGACAAAAAATGCTTCTGAAATAAATTGCCCTTTAGAAGCAGTTAGTTTAAATCCCAACACCTCAGGACCTGCCTCACAGAAAGACAGCAAGCTGGCTTGTTACCATACCCCCACTTCATATCTACCTGCTGTTTACTTTTTTTTGTTGTTGTTGATTTCTCACCTTTGTGTGTATTATCTAAGAACAAATTATGTAACAAGCCAAATTCTTGAGGGGAAAAAACTGTCAGACACTGAATTGGCAGTGAGTTAAATGTTTCTCAAGATCTTAAAAATTACTGAATAGTATTGATTTATGAACATGATGTCCCACTCGTATACATGAATGGATGTTAGACTGGAAACAGGGTGAAACAGCTACCAGGGTGAAACAGCTACCAGAGTGAAACAGCTACATCTACCCCTAAAACTCATTAATTAACATGTTAGGTCTCAAACCAAAATGTAAAAATGACAGTTTTATGGGTTGTGTGGTGCACTGTTTCTTGGCTCTGAAGAGATACCAGACAACCAGCTATGAAGTTATTGATCCCAGCCAAGAAATAGTCAGACACATAACCCCAGGAACAGGGCGTTATGTGTCTTTGGTTTTTGTACGAATTAAACAAAATAACGTGTTAATCAGTGAGCTTTAGAGGTGCTGGCAGGTGGATTTTTTTTTACATTAAAAGAGAACCAGGCTAGCTATTTCCCCCTGTTTCCACTTCTTGTGCTAAGCTAAGCTAACCAGCTGCTGGCTTTAGCTACATATTTACCATACAGATATGAGAGTGGTATCAATTTTGTCATCTCTCAGCAAGAAAGTGAATAAGAGTATTTCTCAGTATCTCAAACTACTCCTTTAAACCTTTAAAGGTCCATGCCCTACAGACTTTATTCCTAAATAAACAGTCCCAGGTGGCACAAACTCTATACATCATATGTTTTGGTCCATTTTTGATTTGGGTAACTAATATATTTTGTGTATATGAAGATATTTAAAATTATTCAGTGAGACATTTAAGTTTGATAGAGAAATGAAAAAAGTACATGATACAGGGATGTAACAGTGTTACTTGCACTACATGTTTAATGAGTAGACTTCTAAAGCTTCATAGGAATAGCAGAAAAGCCTGAGGACATGGAGGTTAATATATGGAAAGCTTTTGCTGCATGACTGGGCCATTCAGCCCCGGGGTCCACAGCTCAGTGGGAAGCTTCTGTCCAACGACATCTCTGAAGATGATCATAGGTATTGGACTAATGAGCTTTACTGGGGCATGGGCCTCTGGAGAGGAGGGGGGTCAGGTGTGACAAGCCTGGCTTTCTAGACTGGCCCCATAGGAGAAGAAAACACAATTGTTTTCACTTTGTAGTCTCAGATTTTAGATGACAGTGTACCGTAAGTGTGACACATCATGGTCACTCTAATGACCTGCAGTCTACGTGTGCCTTAAGCAGATTCAGGCAGATTATGTCAGATGCAATTCAGACAGGCAGGTCTGGCTGGTTGTCATGGTCAGTGTTTGTGAACAGGATGGGGAGATTAACAATAGGCGCATGGCTGATACCCCCAGTGGTGTTACCACCGTGAGGTCAACGCCAAGATCCCAGAGTGTTAAACAAATGACCCCACACTGCCATCACAGCCCAGTAACATTTGCCTGGAATGTGTTCAAACACACACCCCTTAAGGACAATGTCAAATATAGGAAAACAGGCCGACTCTGAAGGCGCACAAAACCAGTGTTTGTTTGAAAATATCCTGAAAATGTTTTGAATGAATACAATCACTAAATGATCAGATAGCCTGTCACTGACTGTTTTAATCCACTATACTCAGCTTACTTTATCTCGAGACCTTTAAGTTATCCTTCTCTGCCTGGTCACAGATGTTTGACGTTTGATGTAGAGTTGAAATGATTAGTCAATTAATAAATTCTAATTCGTTCGATAATCAATTATCATTTAAAAGAGAACTAGCAGCTTGAGGCTATATAGCATTACTAGCATAACACACCTCAGTTTCTCACCAAACCATTGGCCATTGAGTTGCATTGTGGGTAATGTAGACACCAGGTTTTTAATTGTTTTTCATCATGTGTCCCACAGTGTTACAACAGTCCAATGCTAATCGTTAGAGTAATATTTCAATTAAAAATACTACATGTTTGCTGCTTCCAGTCTTTGGGTTTTGCACTGTTGGTCAGACAGGGCTGTAGGAACTTTGATGGGCATTTTTCACCATTTTCTGACATTCTTTACACTAAGCAATTAATAACTGGCACATTCATAGACACTGAAAATAATCATTAGTTGCAGCCTTATTTTATTTTTGTTTTGAGTCATAAATATTTTGATACTTCTTGTCATTTCCATTTGTTGTTGTCTACTCTTCTTTTTAAAATACGGTTCTGTCTATTAGGCTATGTTTTGGTGACCCTTATGCATATGTTACTTGATTTTGCGCATCTTTTTTTGTTGCATTGTTTCAGGAGCCCACGTGAACCCTGCAGTCTCTCTGGCCATGGTGATCCTGAAGAAACTACCTCTCAAGAAGTTCCCTGTGTATGTGGTGGCACAATTCCTGGGGGCTTTTGCTGGATCCTGTGCTGTTTACGGGTTTTATTATGGTGGGTGTAAATGTGTATCATCACTACCAGACAACTGTCTCAGAAAGCAGGATAGGTTCTCTGAGGAAACCCAGAACCCCATCAAGTCTGAAACATTGACTGAAGTGAGGATATCGAGCTAATTTAATAATCCTGCTTCTCCTGCCACTCTTTGTGATCCTTTAAAGAGATTTCCCAATTGTATTTGGATACTGTTTTATGTTGATTAGTAATAAAAACAGAAATATTAGAGCAGCTTGTTAATTATAATTGCTTAAACAGTTGTTTACCATTATTGTATTTTCTATTCCACAGATGCTTTGATGGAATATACCAATGGAGAATTTGTTGTTACTGGTGCAAATGCCACTGCCAATATATTTGCATCTTATCCCGCAAAACATCTCTCAGTCCTAAATGGGTTTGTTGATCAGGTGGGGCTTAAGACTAACTTTTTTTTAAATTGTTTATCAGTTATTAGCTTTGGAGAGTGTTTGGCTCTTTTTTTTTATATGGAGTTACTGATTTCAATGAGACGACAAAATGGTGAAAACGGAAGCCACTAGAGCATACAGAGATGCATTTGAGCGTGCATTTAGTGCAGTCATGGGCATGAATGTAAGCGTAAATGCAGATGTGAGTTGTTTTTTGGTGTGTGAACAATTCTGCTCCAGTGCTGAGGATAACATCCATCTGTTCTGGATGTGTATGAGGCAATATGCACATGTTAGTTTGTGTATTTGTGTATTTCGTAGTAAAAATAAAGCCATGATTATGATCATTACAAGCATTATTGAGTAGCTACACAATCAGAAACATTAATAATTACCTTTCAATTAATTATTACGAGTTATGAAGAGACCTGTCAATGAATTTACCAGCAGGTACCAGCAGGTTCTAATGGTGTTGATATTTGCTATGTGCCTTAAGGAGTCAAATTAGAATCTGTAAAATTAATATAAATAAAATGTTTGATCTGTTGACACTTGTTCTGTTTTCTTAATATACAGCCATATGGAGTTATATAGTAAAGCTGCCTTACACAGACTGAAACCAGGGCAAAGGGGAAGCCCCATAATAAGCTTAGGCAAAATAACATATGCTAGAGGTCACGTGTGAGGTAACTCAAAAACATCCTCTCAAAAACAACAACAAAAACCAACAACATACAAAAGTTGTTTATTTATATTTTTGGATTGCTCACTTGATTTAGAACTGTATGTTTTGTTGTAGCCTTGAAATTTTGTGAATATAACTGATGTTATGCTAATTGCCTGATGCTTTTGTTTTCAAGGTAATTGCAACTGCCGCACTGATCCTGTGCATCCTGGCTATCACTGACAGGAAGAATATTGGCGCTCCAAAAGGCATGGAGCCTCTGTGCATCGGCCTGATCATCATGGCCATCGGGGTGTCCATGGGTCTGAACTGTGGCTATCCAATCAACCCGGCACGAGACCTCAGCCCACGGTTCTTCACAGCTGTGGCGGGATGGGGCATGGAAGTATTCAGGTAATTTCAGTGACGTAGAAAAGATAAAGGTGCCTGTTATCACCGGTAAATGCAAATGTGAAAGAGAGATTATAAGAGTTTCTAATATCCAGGGCAAGATTCATAAGAAAATGGAAGGAAATATTTCTGAGCCAACTGCCTGAGAGAGTCCATTACTTACTGCTGCTCTCACTCTCACTAGTGCCTTAGACATAGTAGATGTGTGATGTAAGAAACTCTGAGTTTAACTACACATGAAGAGCAGCATTTGTAGCTCCATCTCTGCTCTCTTGACAGTCTGTATTAATATTTCAAAGACCATGCATGTATTCCGTGCATCTTGATCCTGGACCTACTTTGTTTAGTTTTTTTATTTTATTTAATGTCAAAAAGATGTCATCATTTATTAAGATTTGAAAGTACACAAAATATTTTTCCTATGTAATGTCCTTAAATCCAATAACTGTTTTTTAAAAAAAGTAATTATTTTAAAACCAAAACCTGCGTTATAAATTTATGCACAAATCCATCCAATGCCATCTATAACTTCCTTGGTCTGTTTATATCACATGCTCAACTAGCCCACTTGTGAGGATGCACTGGCACATTCACGTGCATGCAGGTAACGCAATATACTTTTCTGCTGATGGTGTCACGCTATCCCACTGATTGACTGTTGATGGCTGTGGTGTGCCTTATAAAATTTAGCACTGCCCCAGCAAAGGCAGGAAAGCTAGGGCAAGTTAGCAAACATTATGTACACAATCAGGTTACCAAATATTCAAAAACTGTCTTTGAAGATGTTTTGTGAGGAAGGAAAAGCATTTAACATCACTACACCTTGGTTAGCCTGGCAATGTGTTTTTCTGAGAAATACTCATGGAAAACATAAAATGTTTTTTCTTTTTTTCAACACTTTGTAAATCTGAGGATTTGGTTTTGTCCCAGAGAAGGTGGGAAATTTAAGGAAACTCTGTCTCTTATTCATGGGATCTTCTACAATGAGAGTGGGGAGAGCAAAGTAACCCGAGACATTTTCCACAGCACTGTCTTCAAGCTTGTCCTGGGGAAACTCTTAGGAAAGACAGGGTCTATTTCGTCACCAAATGTGCCCAGGGGAAACCCTTGCAAGGTACCCACTTGGCTTATGGAGGGTTGCATTTACTCCACTGCGTTCCCACTGGTTGACTCACTTTACTCAGGAAACTGAAAGTGTATTTTCTTTGCCTCAGCTCTCCATTTAGCACCATAATAAACAACATACATACTTACTAATATTAATTCATATAACCAGACATTTTACATTTATTCATTTAGCTGATGCTTTGGTCCAAAGCGACTTCTATTTATGTCAGAGGTCGCACGCCTCTGGAGCAACTAGGGGTTAAGTGTCTCGCTCAGGGACACATTGGTGTCTCATATTGGATTCGAACCCAGGTCTCTCACATCCAAGGCATATGATGGTGTCTTATCCACTGCACCATCACCATCACCACCACCACCACCCCCCAGACATATTTATTGTGATTTCAAATGTTTTTACCAAGTTATTTAGTCATGTATAAAGTGTCATATACAGACAACCAGATATTGGAGATCTCTTCAACCACTCCAAAGTGCAACCGCTAATGTCACACGGCAAAGGTGGCACTCTAATGTCACTGAGTTGTAGACACTGTTTGCATATTGCAAACAGGAGAGGGGACAAGGTGTAGTACTGTCTAACTTTCACTTTGGACTTTGTCAAGAATAAAAAAAAACACGGACACGCTACATGTATATAAACAAGATGGCTCACATCAGCAGACTTTGTATACTGTACCCTGACAGGATACTTCCCGGATTTATTTCCCAAATCAACAAACACATATAGGCCGGATAAGCAAGTATTACGACCTTTTGATTTGGTGTGTATGTTTACACACAGTTGCCATTGTTCTTTCTGACTATCACTGAGAGGAGTCTCCTTGCCAGTGTCTTGATTTAAGCTTTAATTATCACTGAGGCAAAGTAGTGTGATCCCTTGGAAAGTTGGAACACATCCATCTCGTCGCCTTTTTCCGGCTCTAGGGATGACAACATTGGTTGGATGGTTACTTGGTCAGTCGGTCACTCTTGTGCCAATTCAGATGATCTTTTCCTGAAAATCGTTGCAACATTGAAGAGGCAGATTAACTGTTGCACCCTAAAATATCCAAAGCAGTTAGAATTTCAGGAGTTGATCTCAACCACCCCTGGCACCTTTCCACCAAGGAGTTCAACCAATGAACTCTGTGAATGTAATACTAAAGGCTCAAAGCTTCCAGTTTTCTGCTTTTCACCAACTTCTCTAGATGAAGTCAGTGATGTCCTTGCTGAGAACAACTTTTTGTTTTCTGCTGAGACGATGAATAGTTAACCAAAATGTCTCTGAGGTGCTCAAAATATGTTCTCTGTAGCCTCTCGCAGCTCTATGCTGGGCCCTCTAAAGACATACAAGCTCAGAAACGTCACCCTTTTTGGTTTGATGGAAGCTCTCTGAAGCCTTATTTCCACAGCCATCATTGCCGTCTGATCCAACTATTTTTTCTCTGAAAATGTTCAGTTTTTGTGTCAGCGATATTTGTGGCAAAGTTCACTTCTTTACCTAGCAAATCTTTTCAAAACCTTTCTTCTCTTACAGGTAGCTTGTATATGTTTTGACTGGTGACAGACATTTGCTGTTATTGTCTTTGTCCTCTGTGCACCGTTTTTTTTAACCCCTTCCATTGATGCTAGTGCTGAAATGCATTAAGATTAGAAAATATTTTGTTGTCAAACTAAGAACAAAACATTGCTTGGATAATAATGGTGCCTTTATAAAAGCAGTTTAAGCAGAGACCTGAGTCAAAAGGTTGTTCAGTACTAAACTATGGATTTTTAAAAGTAGAATTAATTTATCTTGAAAATAACATAACGTTAAGTGGTTGGAGGCCATGTAAAGTCTTGCTATGGGAAAGATACAGTTTCTGATGCTCTCTGTCCCCATACCACAGCTTTAACTATCACCAGATGGCTCATATGACTTTATAGACAATAACGTAGCAGGATTGTTTTAATGGACATATAAGCCCTTGACATTAGATTCATATCATGCATTAAGTGTGTGTGCTAAATCTGACATTATCTTTTACATAGATGATATAAAAACAGCAGCTACAAATGCAGCGTACTATAAAAAAAAACCCATTCAAGTCAGGGTGAGAATTTCTTTACATTACATCCCTTTTCAGCATTGAGTGTGAACAGCGGCACTTGGCTCCATTCAATGTCCACATGGCGTCAATGTGACCCACTGGGTGACTGTCTCCTGGCCTGATCATCTTAGCTATTGCCATAGATTAAGGTCTATAATCCGGCCGCCTCCCTCCTCTAGTCTACGTCCTGAATGTCTACAGTAGAGAAAGATGACCTGCTCAGATGGTTGTTTGCTTTCAAGCCTGTGCATCAGTGCTGTTAACTGAAGCAGTAAAAGCTCCTAACAGCCACTTTGACCAGGAGGACTAATCTCTCTCTCTGAGGTCGGACAGAGTGAGAATGAGGACACATGCAGTAGGTCTAACACACAGAGCTCCTTAAGACTTCACTGTAATCTGGGATAACTGTGTATAACTCACCTGAGATAGGATGATACTAACGTAAACATGCAGATTGGAGTTGTTTAAAAGAGTATTGCATCCATTTAATAGTATATTTCTACTGGGGGACTTGTGACAGACAGATTAAAAAAAGACTGTTAGGAGTGAAGTGATATCCTTACTTTTAGTATCAGTATGGGTCAAGCTGGATCCTACACTTCCCATAATGCAATTCAGTAGTGTCTTTCATTATGCTGTATTTTTTGTTATATCAGAATAAAATTTCTGACTTTTAAGTGTTCATGTTGATGTTGTAACTTGAAAAAGTACAATATATCTGACTTGCAAGGAGCCGTGGCCATAGAGAGAAATATATATTGAGGCAATTTTGTACTACATCGAGCGCTCGATTGTGTGCACGAGATAAGTGTATATGCACAGAGAGCCTGCACAATAGACCAGCCTTGCTTATCAGAGTGTTGAGTAACGGGACACATTCATTCTGAAGAACTATGTGTTAACCCTTTGAGTCAGAATCAGAATCAGAATCTGCTTTATTGCCAGGTATGTGTACACATACGAGGAATTCGCCTCAGGATTATACATTGCTCACGATGTGCTTACTTGTACAAAAATACCATAATACATTAATAAAATAATAATAAAATAAAATCAGACACAACCTACAGTATAGACAACACTAACATACACACTATGAACAAAACAATATAGACATATTGACAAATAGTGCAGTGATCAGAGTGCAAAGGATGCAAGAGTAAACTATTATTCTCATTATGTACATGTTGAAGGTGGATATGATATACAGGTACACATACACATACATGCATACATGTACACATGTACATGGTGTGATGGAACATAGTGCAAGGGATGCTGGAAAAAATAAATAAGACCTATGACCTGAGGTAGGTGTATTGGTATACAGTATATACAATATGACATAGTATGAACAGCACTGAAATAGAGAATGGTGAATAAATAAATAATAAGTGGAAACCAGTAAACAGGTGGCTGATTAGAGACAGAGTTACTGGGTTATTGCACAGGAATTGTTCCTGACACCGTGAGTCAGAAATCAGCTGTTCATCAGAGTGATGGCTTGTGGGAAGAAACTGCTTCTGTGTCTGTTGGTTTTGGCGTACAGTGCTCTGTAGCGCCTCACAGGGTCACTTCTCGAACTGAGCCAGTCTTCTTTGCTGAACTGTCTTTGGGCCAGGCAGCACGCTCATGCCCCGGTGTCTGAAGGGCAGGCTGCTGACAGGCTGCCACATAGTACAGCCTCTTTTCTTGACACGAAATTGTTCTCTAGTTCTTCAGAATTAAGGTTCCCTTCGAGGGAACTGCGTCGGTGACGACACTATGGGAACGCCTCTGGACGTGTCAGGGCTGAAATCATGAATG